CTCTCTTTTTTTGTGTCTCTCTTCCCCTTTCTCTGCCTCTGCTTCACGCTGGATGACAAAAGCGGGTCAACAAAGATAGCACTGAAAGCAATCAGGCTAATAGCGCTAATAAGTTGAGCGTGAGGTCCACGCTCTCAATGTTGACACATTTCACTGTTTCTGTGGCTAAACAGCGACTCAAGTGTTTGGCAACCAGGCCACATAGTATTTTAATGGAATGGCTACCCCATGCCAGGTTGCCATGTGTTTGGTCTGTTTGACGGTAGAAGAATACAACAAAAGCGACTCGGAGAAGAGGTGGGGAGCAGATAATTAACTAGTGGAGAAGCCTGAAGGGAAGGATTTTCCGGGAAGGAGTCATTAGGGGGTTTGAAGTTTCTTGAGTTTTTTTATTACTTTTTCTGGCTGAAAAAAAAAACCCTGCTGTCATCATGTTTCATTAATTCAGCGGTTAATGCTTGCGTGAGAAGAAGCCATTTTCTTGTGTGCTTATAGAATGAAACCGAGCTAACAGGAAGCTATTAAGTGAGATTTTCGTTAACAATTCAGACATTGCACTGCAACTCTGTAACTCTCATATCTCCAAGGTTGTTGAGACATTACTTTTAGCTGTGTTTAGATCATCTTTCTTTTGTCATCTGACGGGTCCATACTAACAAAGACGAGCATGTTAAAAAGCTGAAGGTAGTCGCAGCAAGATCCAAGCGTAATCCCTCACCTGTCTGCTCCTTTGCGACCCAAGGATTTAGCCCTGTGAAACGTCTACACATTCCTCTCTCTCAACAATAGCCTTTTTTTCCCCCCTTCCTCTTTTGGTATTTTTTTCCCTCCTTTTAAGAAGTCTACTTGTTTGAACAAAGAAATATTTTAAGAGGCTTGTAACTGTGGGTGCTGTGTGTTTCTGTGCGTGTGCGTGTGTGTTGGATGCGGCCATAGGGACGAATGCTAGAGTGCCCTCCCCTGTTATTAGGCCTGCCCTGTCATTACGGGATTAAAGTGTAGGGGTTGGGTTTGTGTATATGTGTGTGTGTTTGTGTTTGTGTGTGCATGTACTTATGTATTTGCCTGCAAATACAAATACAAATACAAATACTCAAAGACTGATTGTATTTCTGCAATTTTTCTCACACAAGCACAGTTTGCAGAAAAAACAAAACCCTACCATTTTCTCCCCATGTTCGTTAGGATTATCCCAGGTGCATTTGACCTCGATCATAAATAACACTTTACTAAAGCAATCCTCAGGTTAGTCAAACAGAGACTCTTTAATTGAATAGTCTTCATAAGCGGTAGGAGGTTGAAAAACATTCCCCTGTTCACCACATGTCACATCCATCGCAACACAGCATGAAAACACAAGCAAAGATATAGAGACAGGAAAAGAAGGAGGGAAGAGGAAGAGGAAAAAGACAAATGAAAAGGGGTCAAACCTATCCCTTCTGAGTAGAGGGAAGAAAGAGAAAGTAGTTGGAAAAGTGAGTGATAAAAGGGGGTATGAAGAGAAGGAGATTGAGAAAGTGAAACGGTTGGGAATTAGATCCATCGTTTGACAAGGATGATGAGAAGAAGATTGAAAATAAATTAGAAAGAAGTGAAACTTTGTGCAAGCAAGATGGATTAAACCGCCTGTGTGTCCTGAGCCAGCGGTACCTCCCACATCTGCATGCTTTACTTTCACTCACTGTGTGTGTGCGTGTGCGTGTGCGTGTGCGTGTGTGTGTGTGCGTGTGTGTGTGTGTGTGTGTGTGTGTGTGTGTGTGTGTGTGTGTGTGTGTGTGTGTGTGTGTGTGTGTGTGTGTTTATTCCGCAGTACATTTGCATGGCCGTTTGTCTGATTTACTCAGTTTGGTCGTTTCCCCTCTCCAACCTCGAATATTTCCATCTCTCATTTTACACTTGCCGGATTTTAAAGGGGGAAGTGAAATGACTGGAGCCAAAAGGCAAGAGAGAGAACTTTCTTTGTACGGGGGAGGCTCTAAGTCACACAATGGCTATTTCTCCCTCAACTTGTTCTTCTGGTAGTCTATCTGTCTATTTTCCTTTTCTATCTCTCTCTCTCTCTCTCTCTCGCGACTGGGCACATTAGGCAAGCCGCCAGCATGGTCTTAGAAGCTTTCAGAGGTTGTTTGCTTTAGAAAACACACCTTTCTCTCTTTAATCAGTTTTACTCTGCCTCTCTGTCAGCCTTTATCATCCATATAGCACGGGTTTGGCGATTTGGCTCACAGAAATGGTTGCTTTGTGCGTGGGCATATAGCACATTATTTTCTGGTTTGTATTGTGTCTTATTGTGCATGTGTGAGTGCGTGTTTGTTTTCTGTGTCTGTGAAGGTGTCTGAATTTGCTGCACGGTCATGAATATTACAGTGAGCTTCTATTGCCTGATGCGTTATTCTCTCACACACACACACACACACACACACACACACACACACACACACACACACACACACACACACACACACACACACACACACACACACACGGAATGGCCAGGTTAAGTCCTGGTCATTCACTGCTTGAGCTCTGGCCCATTGACTCTGGATTGGTGCTCCACTTTGGGCACAATACAGAGCTTTGCAACACATACACACACACAGGCACATACCCATAGGTTTAACAATGCAGATGCATCGAGAAGGGAAGGGTTACTGCTGCACATGCACTCCCGAATGATCCACTTTCTAAACCACTGAGTCAGACTGCATGTGTTTGTATGTATGTGTGCATACCTCCTTTTCTGCTTTCTCGTTTTTTCTCTGTCATCCCTGTCTCCCCCTCTTTGACTGTCCCCTTATGTCATTGTTTCACTGTGTTGTCATTTTCGGCAAGGTCAGCTCTAATGAAAGGGCAACACACCATACACACAGCCCAGTCATAATAATAAACACCAGGCAGCGGAGGTGTATCATTTCCAACACACCAGCTCACTTACCTGCGTAGCTGTCGTTAACAGGTCCCAGATAACACACTGTCATTGTGTGAGTCAGGGGAAGTCCTGCAGCTAATATGCACTGACACTGTTTCTGAGATGAAAACACTAGTAGGCCCCTATTTGCTCAAGAGACAAATGTGGATCATTGAGTTTGGTTACAAAGAGAAATTGGAAAAACAGACTGAATTCATGATTTTTAAGAGAACCACACAGCACAGAAAGATAATCAGACACTGACAGGTGAGAAAGGGAACCTATTGAGAGAAAGATGGTGAGCTTGATTCGACTCTGAAATCCTGTGAGTGCATGATATTCACTTTGGCTCCCATTGCCACTCCCAGAGAAACGGTTCTCGCTGTGTGAACGGGCTCACAGTGGAGCTACCAGACCATTTTGCCTGAGGGCAACAAGCCAGAGCTACATTCGAAATCTGATTGTATGTGTTTTTTCTGCGAAGAAAGATATTTCCCTTCGGCAGAAACTCTCCTTGGAGTTATGTTTTCTAAATGGTGTAATAGCCACATACAAATGTCAGAGACAATGTCACTCTAAACACAAGGTGGTGGAATTCGATGGGAATTCCCAGTTGTAGTGCCTTGTCGACATTATTCACAAGGGGTCTCTGAGTTCAAGAGTATTTGCGTTTTGTCACTGCCGGTGCTTCTGAATGCAGCAGTGGTGGCAGCAGGTATTTGGAGGAGGTGTGGTGAAATCCTAGGGTTTATTCTTTTATTTTGCTCCCAAATCCATTTTCCTGTCAGCTTACCAGGAGGAAAAAAATCAAAGAAGAATGAGGGAGACAGAGGCAGAGAGTAGCAAAGTGGGCTGAGATACCTTTTATGCCTTTATTGATAGTGATAGGAGAAAGACAGTGAAGGTGGGATAGAGAGTAGTGGAATGAGATGCATTTGCTCACATGTATTATGCACCCTAAACTCTTGGCTATCGGGTCGCCCAAAGGCTGAAAGCCTTCTTTAGATGCATCCCCTGCAACTGAGGTGGGAAAAATAAGACAGTTCACACTTCCTTCCATGAGCAGGGAAGTTTCAAACTTTTTGCCATGCCGTTTCATCATCTTTTACTATCTTGTACAACAGCACAGCGGTAGAGATAATAACGGTGGCAGTATACTGCACCGTGAGCGCCAAGTAGTAAAAGACTCGACATTTATAGTGTTCCTTCTCTGCTCTCACAAAGCCGTTGTCTTCGCCAGTAGAAACATGATGGTGGAAAGATGAAAAAAGAATAGGAATTTGCTGAAAAGATCACTGTCCACTATTTTGTGTGTATTGTGTACGTTGTGTGTGCTTCTCTTTGTGCCAAGAGACAGGCATAAAAGTAAGGTTTGCTTGAAGTGTGTATGTGTTCAAGTATTGACAGAAAGGGAATCTAACTGAAGTGTATTGACCTTTGTTCCGCTTAAGAGCTCCTCTTTTGTGACACCTAACTTTATAAGACCCCCTCTCCATTCAACCCTTCTGTTGGGCTATATATCTTGTGAAGTTTTACAACCTGTACTGGCTGTATGTGTGTGGGTGTTATTGAGTGTGTGTGCGTGTGTGTGTGTGCGTGTGTGTGTGTGTGTGTGTGTGTGTGTGTGCGTGTGTGTGTGTGTGTGTGTGTGTGTGTGACTGTGCCCTGTGGGAAGCGGAACCGTTTCTCAGCAAGACTCGCTGTTGTTTCCTTCCCCTGTATAAAAGCAAACGTCTAATTGAGACTAATTAGCCAGACAAGGAGACACAATAAAATGTCACAGAACACCTCACAGATCACCCACCAAGACCTCCCTCACTCACTGTCTTTAGGTCTTCTTGTCACACACAGACATACAGTACTTCTTGGTGTAATTAGGACTAAAATAACTGTAAGCCCGCGCTTTCTGTCATTCAGTTATTCACCCAGTTATCTGAGAGCAGCTTTGGTCAAAGCCTCTTATCTCTTCAGCGGTTCGTTTGAGAAGCTTTATGACATTGTTGTAAAACTATTGAAAGTTCTATTGATCTTCTCTGTCACCCTGTTCCTCTTTGTCTGACCTGGTTGTTATCTTTTCTGCTTCCGTTCACAGAGACGCTGATGGATACAAAGTGGGCGACGACAGAATTAGCCTGGACTGCACACCCTGAGACCGGGGTAAGTTCATATACTTGTTTATGCGAGGACAGTAACTTTGACTCTATACTTGTATCCAAGGGGTTTATTCAGTGTTGAGTGCAAAGGCTTCTGAATATAGTGTGTTTGCATGCTCTTCGGAAGTGTAACAGTCCTCGACACCTTCATCAGTAAGTCTTTTAACAGGATATGTTTTGAAATTCAAAAAGGAGGCGCTTTTTAGTGAGCAGAAAAGGTACACTGCAATCCAATTTCACTCACCTGCCCAGTCACAGATGGTCATTCGCCTTGCCCTTGTGCACTTCAAACATGTGGAAACGCCAGTTTCCTCATAAACTAACCTTTAAAAAATAAAATATGTCTGGCCGTTGACCCATTTCACACCCTGGCATCCAAATCTACCACACACAAAGTGCCAGTGACAGCCCCATCTTGCTTTCCTATGTGGTCTCCACAATGGCCTAAAGAGGAGCAAAAAGAGTCTTGACCCTTCTCAGCTATACTTCAAAGACCCACAGTGCTCCTCCCCTTGCCTTTGTGTGGCCTTCTGACTTGGCCCTTGTGTTTTGAAAGGTGGGCCCCTTTTTTATACTTTGTTAGTACCACAACGCACTTGCAGGGACATTCTACTCCAGCTGTTCGAAGTCGCCGACCCTCCTTATTCTCCCCTTCCTTTGCTTCTGAGTAACTAAGCACTAATGAAGCCAGACACACTAGCCACCTCAGCTGCAACAATCATTAGGAGAAACGCCCTCCAAGCTTTTGCTGCTCTCCTTCCCTCTTACCATCCCGTCCATCTCCCCTTGCCTCCCTCTGCCCCCCTCCTCATCGTTAAGCTACTATAAGGCAGAGATGCTCCCAACGGTCCTGTGCAGAATGGCAGAGAACCAAAATACGCCTCCCCATTTCTTTTCCAAGTAATCCTGCAACAGATGCCCCTTTTCAATATATATAAATACAGTGTAGAGCCTTTTGCACCCCAGATTTCCCAAATCACCAACAGAAAGAATGGAGATGTTTTTCTCTCCTGTTCTCTTTTTGTAGCAGAATTTGCAGCCAATGAGGCATCTTTCAACCCTGTATTCCCTCCTTTTATGTTTGTCTCAAAGAATAAATATAAACTCCCTTTTCTTTCACAAAGTATTGTGTCTGTGTTTATGTGCTTTTGAGGCCTTGCAACACAAGCATCAGAGCCTATTTTTAAATGTTTTAATTCAGTTGCTCAAAGGCTACATACTGGGAAACCTGGAAGGGTACGCAGTGATACTGATATTAAATAGAATACACAGACATGTCCATGTAGAGAGAGGGAGACAGCATAAAGGAGAAAAGAAAATCAATTTCTAAAATAAAAGTCTCTCCCAGGGATGCTGTGCTTATCACAGTGTTGCACAACACATACAGAACAAGCACCAGACATAAAGCTACACATATGAAACATTAACTGTGAACAGTGAATCCAGAGACCAATGGCATATAATCACTACTGTTAATGCCACCACTCTTGGTATAAATAGGGTGTAGAGAGGCATTGCCGAATAGTTATCTGTAAAAGCAAGGCAATGCCTTCACATACCATGTTATGAGTGTGAGTGTTTTTACAAGTATTCTCTTTAGTTTTTCACCTCTGAGTCTGCATTTTGGTATGTGGATTTCACTGCCTCACTGTCTGCATCTGTCTGTATAGCCTGTAGCATACGTGAATCATGCATGCCTTTGTGTAGGTGTGTGTGGATTTCCAATTGCACTATCTCTATCTGTATTGTGTCTGTGTGTTTGTCCAAATACTGTATCATTTATCCTTCGAAACAGATGGGTCATGAAAGGGGAATTCCACTTTATAGCAATGCTTCTCTCAGGCCTGTAATGACAACCACACGGTTTTCCAGAACTGTACAATGATAACAATATACCAAGTTACTTTGCTTATAATGATAATAACTATTGTTATCACTGTAACATCTAAAATGTCCTCCGAAATTAGCCTCTAAGAGCTTTCATATTACACATAACCAGTGGTGTAGTGGGCGTTGGACGCGGGGGTACGCCGTACCCCCACTTATTTGAAGCATGATTTCTTTTTTTAATAGTCTAATACATCTAAAATCATTGCCAGTGTTATCAGTTGCAAGTGTGTGTTTGTTGTAATAATGACGAAAACATAATAGGCAGATTTCACAGTAATTATAATAAAAACGTAGCTCAAGCATTCATGCAACTTGATTTGAAGCGTGTGTGTGTGAGGGGCAGAACCGTGTGTGTAGGGTGACCAGGTGTCCCGCACTGTGCGGGACTGCACACACAGCATTTTTATTATTTGTCCCGTGTCCCACACATTGAGACTATGTCCCGCATTTGAGTGATAGTCGCGCGGAAAGGCCTGATCGGTTCGCTGACAGCCGGCACCGCCCTTTATTATTATATTGTCTAAGCCCCCCCCCAAGCCCCCCGTTGACAGTTCACGAGCGCGTCCATAGTGTCTCCCGTCCACCCACCACCCCGTCCACCCAGTAAAAAAATCCCCACTACACCACTGCACATAACACATGCATTTTCATTTAGCTAACAATTAAATAATGTCAAGAGTTATTTAATACTAACAAGAAGAAAAGTAAAAAAACAATAAAGCTTGTTGGGGGTACAGCGTTTAGCCAATGCCTCAAGCCAATGATACTAGTTTATCTAAGTTGCTACCAAGGTTGCTAAAAGTAAATGTTCTTGAATTAATCTATGGATTCTTAATAGATCTTAAACTCCAGTAAGACAACCTCCTTCTCCTGTTTTATTTATATCTGTAGTTTGTTTGAAAGTTCCATAGTTTTGCCAAAAAGTGGCAAAATATATTTTTGCAGCGTGCCTTTGCACCATCTAGTCTAGGACAATGATAGTGCGTCATAGAAGCGTTGTTCATCACCACCTGAAAGTAAAATGTAATGCTTTGATTGGAAAGGACAAAGAGAAAATGGAGTGGATCGCAAATCTTGCATAACGATTCATCATGTTGGAAATCGATGGCAAGTTACTTGACCCTTTTTCACATGACCTACTTAATTCATTCAGGCTTGGTAAGCAGGCGCTCAGAGTGTTTGGCCACTGGTGCGTGTCTCGGGGGGGATGACCTCTCTCTAAACACACAAATACACAAACAGACAGCCACCTACACGTACACACTCTCAAACAAACACACAGAGCGAGTGCACACACAGGCAGACAGACTCACATAAGCACATTAAATAAATGCGCTTAACTTCATACACACACTCACAAACACTTGGCTGGAACGCTCTTTTGCAGTGGGTGATTTATTACACTGAACTAAATACCCATTGACACTTCATTTTTTTAGCCTTCCCATTGACCTGGCCGGTGATTATTGATTCCCTCTGGTCGCTTCCTCCTTCGCTCTCACCAGCCATTGCTTTAATGCCACGGCCAAGCTACGCCCATTCTTCCTCTCTCCCTCATGGCCTCCTGGGTCTTGGATGAATAGCCTTGTCTTCACCACATCCATATCACAACCTCAATTAAGATACTCAGAGCGCAAATAAAAACAACTGGGACTGGAGAACAAATTAGAGCCTTTATGCCACAGACTGTAGATTGTTCTAAAGCAAACTTAGGTCCCCAGAGTGCAACAATAAACTTTTAATGTGTTATAAATGTGTATGTCCTTTAATACCTTAATATTGTAGCCATGTCAAGTAACGTATACTTCCACATAAAACTACTCTCTATCTGTTACACCTTTGTTGATATTTATTTTGTTCAATTAGATTTTCCTACGCTTTGTCCTGCAAAATGCTCTAATGCATTTTCATGCCTTATGCAAAACACATTTAAAAAAGTAATATGCAAATACACTGGCCGGGCTTGGTTTCAGTAAAAAAAAAAGCACTCTGTTTGTCTAATAGTAAAAGGGAGCAGATCCCTGAGCATACACGCACAAAGATATATTATACACAGAGGAATCGCTATTTGAAGTGAAATGATTTAATCGCGTGTCCTCATTTGAGATTGAAAAATGCATTAGATTACAGTCTCTCTGCGAAGCTTTTACAGTCTAGTTTGCTTGTGCTCATTTAATGAAGCTGGTAATCAAAGTTTAGAAGATTTAATCCCATTTTATCCTGAGTAATTCACCCCCTGGGTACTGTAGTAGCATTGAAAGACGTAGAGGAGCGTAAAAAACGGAAATCATGAAGGTTAACCGGGCGTCTTCATTAGAGGACGTTGCGATCATTGCTCTGTAATTGAAGCGTAATTGGTTGTGAAGCAATGTGGCTGCTCCTTCCAAACAGATATGAGGTACACATGCATTAGTGGCTCTGTGGTGAAGAGGTGACAAGTTGCTGTAATTGAGATGAATTTGCAGTCCTTGTCCCTGGCTATTCGCTACACTAACCAGAGATGAAAAGCGTAGCATGGGACAAAGGCAAAGGAAAGTAATTGAAAATGGCCAAAAAGGAAAAACTAAAAACTAGGTTACACTTTGGTTCTTTCTCTCTGAGTCCTTACCTCTGCCCATTTGTCTTCCTCTATCATGCAACGTGACTGAACGTACATCTTAAAGTTGTAATGCAATGTGTGCATACATTCTTGACCCCAATGTGTATATGCCAAAGATATGACACTTTTACATCTTCTGACCTGTTTATCTGTTCTCTCTTTTCAGTGGGAAGAGGTGAGTGGCTATGATGATGCCATGAACCCCATCCGGACTTACCAAGTCTGCAATGTACGTGAGCTCAACCAGAATAACTGGCTACGCAGTGACTTCATCCCACGAAAGGATGTGCTGCGTGTATATGTGGAGATGAAATTCACAGTGCGTGATTGCAACAGCATTCCTAACATCCCAGGTTCTTGCAAAGAGACCTTCAACCACTTCTACTATGAGTCTGACTCAGACTCAGCCACAGCCACCAGCCCTTTCTGGATGGAGAACCCATATGTGAAGGTGGACACTATTGCTCCAGATGAGAGCTTTTCCATGCTTGAAACTGGGCGGGTAAACACAAAAGTCAGAAGTTTCGGGCCATTGTCCAAAGCTGGGTTCTACTTGGCCTTCCAGGACCTTGGTGCCTGCATGTCGCTCATCTCGGTGAGGGTCTTTTACAAAAAGTGCTCCACCACCATCGCCAACTTCGCCGTTTTCCCAGAGACAGCAACTGGGGCTGAGGCTACCTCCTTGGTCATTGCCCCGGGAACTTGTGTCCCCAATGCCGTGGAGGTGTCTGTGCCATTGAAGCTTTATTGCAATGGAGACGGAGAGTGGATGGTTCCCGTGGGAGCCTGCACCTGCTCGTCTGGTTTTGAACCAGCCATGAAGGACACCCAATGTCAAGGTGAGTGTTTTCACAACAGGTATTTTTGGTCAGTCCATGATTTTACATTCAGTGTTTGCCATAGGTTATAGACACATACTCCAACAGAAAAAAAAAGATTCAAGCCAAAATGTTAGGTGCACTTTTTTGTAGCTCATTCCACATTCTCCCCTCCTGGAAGATGGTGGTGGAGTTGGGAGGATCTCCCCATGGCGATCAATAATGTATCACATTATTACTGCTGTGAAAAGTTACATTAGCATTTTAGGCACATGGTATCTGATGGTTCTATGCAGAGTGAATAACAATGAGTGAGTACTAAGGGGTCAAAGTCTTGCTGAAGGACGCTTCACAAAGTGATTGTCGGAGAGATTAAAACAGTATTGTTTTGGCTACAGGTTAGATCCTCTTTATCACTAAATAGTTCAGCTGCAGCATTTACATGTCTTGTGTTCTTGGACACATGAATCCAATGATCACAAGGTAGAATACTGCACACTAGATGACACTGTTAGCAGGGGGCTGTTCACTTGACCTTAGTTTTGCCTGGCAGCTGGTTACTAAATAAATGGTGATTCAGTGGAGGCTGTCTGTTTTTGAGAGGGCCTATGATGGTTTCAGGTCAGTTGGAAAACATGACGGGTTCACAGAGGTTGAAAGCGAGGTGAATTTAAACAGCAATGGTTTCAACTTAAATGGAGTGCAGGTGACAGCAGGAAGAGAGGGAGGGATACGTGAAAAATGTCTGTTTGCTGAGGGGTATGGGGGCGTACTATTTGGCTTAGGGTGAGTAGGTCAAATGGAGACAGCGGAATGAGTTAGAGAGTGAGAGAGAGATAGCGAGAGAGGGGAGCTGGCAGGTTTATTGATCCGCAGGGTTTAATACAAGGTGTCTGTGAATGCACAGTTTATATGTGGATTGTCTGCCTTGGTTCACAGGGCTCATTCTTCTCCTTGCATAGCAGTAAGAGGTGAGGCTGAGAAGACCTTTTGAGTTCAGTGCCCATACTATTAATTAGCCACAGAGTTGGTGGATGCTTTACAATGGCAGCTTCTGGCACACCCTAAATATGTGTGCTCACCTTTAGAAGGAGAGTGTGTATGTGCCGGGTGAGAGAGTAGTACATCTAAAGCATGGTGTATGTGGTTAAAAACTCATTTGTTTGCTCCTGGCAGCTCAAGGTGAAAGCCCTGGCGACTAGGTCCTGATAAAATGTTCTCTAATCAAGCCTCACTGGAAACCACAAGGGATAAATCTCCCACTCTTCTTCTCTTCTCACTTCACCTCCCCTCAGGTCCACGCTCCATACTCATTTCTTTCAGTGTGACTCTTCCTTTCTTACATGTTTCTGTCCTCATTTCAACATGCAGTGTGTCCTACAGCTCCACCACCATTGCTTTCTCTTGCTCTCCTTTTCTGTTCTTTCCTAATCTGAAGGATTTCTCTCATTAATAAGCCATCACAGTTACAGTAAGGATGGCTGCATTAATATTTATCGATGGTCTTTTTTTTTTGCCTTTCCGCTCATTTACTGCATATTTCTCTCCACCAATATTTTTACTTTTCTCTTCATGCTCCATGCTTTCCAATTTCAGCATACATTCTAATCAGTTCCTTAAGCTCTATGTTCTGCATGAACATCGAGCTTAGGATAAGACACAGGGGAGTGGGGAACGGGGGGAAAAGAGCCTGCAGGATTAGCATTTTCTATGCCTCCACCTCTTCCACCTCTCCCTCCCTTTTTCTCTAGCCCTTGTCTCTCTTTCTTCCTCATTCTTTAGCAGTTCCTCTAAGGGGAACATTGATGAAAGGAAGAGGATGACCCCTTTACTCACTGGAAGTGATGGATCAGCACTTTCAGCCTTTCCCTAAAAAATGGAAATGCTCCATCAACATCTTTCGTCAGGCCAACATGTTCAAAAATGAACACTCTTATCCCTTGAGGGTTCAGAAATTGCTTGAAGTTTACTTTGTGTGAACTCAGATGAACTTGCATGGTTGTTGACACCGAATCGAAGAAGTAGTTCTACCACCTGGTTAAACTCAAGGTCATTTGTATTTATCAAGCGGTGCTTCCTGTTAGCCATTGGTGTGGACGAATCTGATTAATGGTGGAAGAACAAATACGCTCAGTGCTAATGTACACGGTGCAGTCAACTGGGTGTTTTGTGCTAATATTGAACTTAAAAAGAACAACAGGGGAAAAGCAAGGGCAGGAACTGGTGGGCTGTAGATGTGACCTCAAACCTGCTGTTTTCAACATGGAGCAAAAACAAACGCAGGAGCTTTAGAGATGATTATCATTTAGGGAGACAAACATTGCAGTGTGTCCTTGACATTGACGAGTTAACGCACTAGTGGGTCAGCTAATCAACTGGACCCTGTAAACTTTGCCTGTCTTACCTGCTGTCATTTCTTTTTATGAAGCAATGCGGCAAACTCATTTATCTTTTAACAAGACAGTTTATCAAAGATATGAAGTCGGCCAGTGTTCTGGATCACAGTGCCGCTTCAGTGTTTACCGCCTGCAGTGTCTGCAACTTATCACTTGTAAACTTCCAAACAGCGGCCATAAACAGATATACTGAACTAACAAAGACCAGCGGGGTTTTTACATCTAATGACTTGGCTTCACTAATCAAGAACTACTTAAGGTAAAACTATGCTGAAGGTACGTTATTTAGGTATTTTTAGGGCAATAATCTCAGAGACAGACCTCATAACACCAAGCACATTGAAGAGACTTGTGTCCAGGATGGTGTTTGTGTACGTGAGCAAACATGTGTTTGCACAGATGTGACATGTTTACCTTAGAAGGTGTTGTGTGTATCTATATGATGATATGTGTCCAATTTTATATGTATTTGATAAAGTACTGGAATCAGATAGAGAGCACATGCCAGGGTTCGGTTCTGAAGGTTGTTCGTGTAACTTCGGTATACAATCTCATCATGTGAGACAGCTTCATACTGCTTAAAAAACACAATTTGTTGAAGTAACTTTTTTTCCATAAGGGAAAACAGGAAACATGTGGGGTTAAGAGGAAACATACAAATCATGTGTATGTCCACACATAAACACACATGCTTAACACATAAAGTAAGCTGTTTTAGAAATGTTTACTAGTGAACTGGAACCGTGTTAGTACAGAATTATCCCGCTTAGTTAAGACATTACAACCTGTTGTGAACAGTTGTTTGCTAAAGTTAAGGATCAGTGAGAGTAACATTTTGTTCATTTATTTCACAGTGCCTTACTGCCCATTTGGATAACATGACCCATACAAATTGCTATATGCTGTATGCTATTACTTATTCACAACTTTCTTCCTCCATCTTTTATTTTTTCCATCAGCTTGCAGCCCTGGCACCTTTAAGTCCAAGCAGGGTGATGGCTTCTGCTCGCCCTGTCCGGTCAACAGCCGTGCCAGTTCAGGAGCCTCCAGCGTCTGCTCCTGTCGAACCGGGTTCTACCGCTCAGACAGTGATGCTCCCGAGTCCCCCTGCACCAGTAAGTACAGACTGCTTTCAATTGACTGAATACCAACAGCATTTAAACTCCTACTGATGCTGTAATTACAATTTGTTGAAAAAAACTGACAGCAACAGATTTACACCTCAAAATATTCAGACAGCAATCAAGTGTTTTGTTTGCTATTCAACAGAATTCTTGACTGTGTGGTAAATGTTCTCCCAAAATTCCCTCTATGAATTGTGCCCTCTATGGCTGATAAAAGCCCTCTGGAGTATGTTCTCACGAATGGCAAACAAGTCTGCTTGCTTTCCCAACGTTATCCAAAACGTTATCATCCAACCCTTCCCCCGCCTGCCTCTCAATCTGTTCTCAATGCTGCCATCGCTTTAGAGGCAGACAGTGGAAGAAAATTCCTAGCAGTCCCTTCTTTAAGAGCAAACGTGCACACGTTAAAAGCTAATTCATTTGCTGGTAAAGAGAGAAGAAGATCCTTTTTTCTGTTGCTGGGGTGGAGGGCTGATTCTCCCACAGTGCAGTGAAAGATAATGCTCCAGTAATTGGATAAGAATTGCAAAAGCTCTGCCAATAGTTTTTCCCCCCCGCCCCCCCCCCCAGCACTTCACGAACAGACACACAGTGGAAATGAACATGCAATTCAAATTTGAACTCCTTTCCTATTCTTATTTGTTCTTGTTTGGAAAAAATGCTGGAACAGCCTCTCTTTTTTGTGGAAGCAAAACATTTTCTAGTTAATTCTTGAAAAAATGTGCACAAGGAACAATTCTGTGTTATGAATTATGCTGATAGCGGCTATGAAATAATGAATGTATTTGTGTATAATAAAATGTAAACTGTGTTTTGCAATTTGAATCTATTGTCAGTATGTCTCTTTACTGTCACCAAGAAACATTTCTTAACACCTATTGTGCATGGAGATTAAATTCACTAAATCTATTTTATTCATCTCTTCCACGCTTTACTTCCCATTCGCAGCTATTCCTTCTGCACCACGTAGTGTAATATCCATTGTGAACGAGACCTCACTCGTGCTGGAATGGAGCGACCCTCGGGACCTGGGTGGCCGTGAAGACATCTTCTACAACGTCATCTGTAAGAAGTGCCTGCCTGAGCGGGGAATGTGCTCGCGGTGTGATGACAACGTTGACATCTCACCACGCCACCTGGGCCTCACCCAGCGCCGTGTGGCTGTCCGTAACCTACAAGCCCACACGCAGTACAGCTTCGAGATTCAGGCAGTCAACGGTGTTTCCAACAAGAGCCCATACTCACCTCACTTCTCTTCAGCGAACATCACCACCAATCAGGCTGGTAGGTACAGCCGCAGCCTCATGGCTTACCTGTCAGATCAATATTGAACTTGTAGGCATTGCCGACTTTCAAAGGCTGGAAAGAAATACAGCAGAATGTCAGAGAATCTGTTCTGCGCTTAAGAAGTACATATCAATTTCTTCTATGCATGTAGGAGTGTGTTACATATTCTCCCTTTGAACAGGGATTGAGAAGGAAGACATTCTTCTGAATGAGTTTAGAAAGGGACCTTGTTCACACGCCCACAGCATGCTCTGTACTAACACTGCTGCAAATAGCAATAGCGAGGCAGTGTGTATTCAAAGTGTTGAACCCTCAGTATTATAGCTGCCCACGGCTTCCAACCCACCGCTCCTCCAGCCCACAGTAACTGGGCCAATTTAAAATCATTCCTTAGATATTTTTTGTTGGATTCAGAAGATCAGCACATTTTTATACATAATACATAAGGGTAGTAATAATAAGCTTTTGCATGCGATCATCTACGCTGTAAATGTCAGGGTCAATGACTTTGCATTAAAATGGGTAGATAGGTATGTGGCTTGATAATTAAGTAAGGAGGTAGGTAGGTGAACAAATATGAATCATTTCTGAAATTGCTTTTAGTTGGTTAAGTTTAAACTAAATGACCTTAATACATTTCATTACTCTGGATCTTACTATACACTGGATATATTGTCAGTTGGTCTCTAAGGTTATCCCAAGGCTATTAAGTTGTGCCTTGGATGTGTTTAGTGGCTCTGTTAAATTGGCTATTCCTGCAGGCTTAGACAACACCAAGGATTATCCCTTGCTCCTACCACCATCATCTTTCTCTTCCTCCATGGCCTTGTCCTCCTCACCTTTAACCTTGAGTTCCTGCTCCTAAAAGATGCTTTAGGAATGCCTTCTGTTCTCGGGTCTAGGACCCAACGCACTACAGGGCCCCACGTGAGGGCCTTATTGTTTCACAAGAGGTTCAGCACTAGGCTGACAGGGACCACTGTCCATTCATAGATGCTTGGGGTCAGTTGGGTGCGAACAGAGTAGTGAAGGAAAAAGGAGGGGGCAAGAGAGCATCAACTGTGATCAGATTATCCGGTGGTGTAGTCCCAGGACCATCCCTGCATGTGCATTCACCTTTTAAGAACCAAAATAAATACTAGGGCGGTGATAAGCCCTGGGGGCCACCTCCATGGTTACTTCAACGTCTCCTCCTGGAGGAGGGCCCCTAATCCCCTGGCTAGAGTAACCAGGGGATCTGCCTCGGAAGCATTGTCTTCTGGGGAGAAAGAGAGACGTGGTGGGCCTGGGTGGATGGCATGGGGGGAAAGCTAGGGGAGGGGAGGTTTAGGGAGCAGAGAGAGAGAGAGAGAAAGAAATAGAGAGATGTCTGGCCACATATGCAGGCAGCAGAGGGAGAAAGGAAATGCTAGGGGGAGGATGAAAGAACTTAAAACTGGGGATTAAAATCCTCGAAGGAAGAGAGAGAGACAGAGCGAAGATGGAGGTCTGCAGTGGTCAAAAAAAATATGAAAGTGAATAGCTGAAGTAGACAATGCAATTTAAAGTGTGTAATTGTGTGAGTATTGTAAAGATTGAGGAACTTTTTTTGAAGATAATTTACAAATAGAGAATGAATGTTGAATTTAAGCAACAAAAGCTATGAAATAGACTGAGGGGAGTGAGTGAGTCAGAGGTACAAAACAAGCCTGAACTTAAAAAATTGGAAAGAGAGACAGGGAGGCAGACATTTGGCCGTTAATAGGCACATGTGAACAAAGAATAAAAAGCTCAGGTGGGTGGAGTTCAAGTGTGAGTTATACTCTTTGTGCGAGTATTCACAAACCAATGTCTATTTGTATGCATAAAATACAAATCATGCTTCTACAGCGTTGATGAGGTAACAGTACATGTAAGGACAGTACATAATGCATAGGATTAGCTTGGAAACTACTAAACTGCAAGATGCAAAATTGCAAGCGTAATTTACCATGCAAGAAAGTAATGAAAATATAAAACTCAACATCTGTATGTGTGTGCTTGCCCCTATAAGCTAGCCTACAGTTGGTGTATGTTAGAGGGAACTGCATGTACCAGTGTCAGTCACTTTTGCATTTGATTCTCTTGTCACTGCAGAAGTAGACATTCCCTCTCCCTCCCCGAGGACTTAATGAGGGACAATTTGAGCATTAGTGGGGAATGGGTCTGCATACTAACTATTGGCCAAAGCTTTTCACAAAGCCCACAGTCTAAGACTTTGTATTTAGGCTTCTTTGGACATACAAAGGGCATAGAACTTGAGAATACATAACGTATAAAATGACAAATGTAGCTAATTTCCCATTATTTGTTTCACCCTATGTAGCTCCGTCTGCAGTGCCTACAGTTCACCTGATGGCGGCCACAGCGAGCACCATGAGCCTGTCCTGGCTGCCTCCAGAGAAACCCAACGGAATCATTCTGGATTATGAGATTAAGTACCATGAGAAGGTAAGAAGCTATGTAAGTCAATGTCTCTAATTCAATCCAATTGCATTGAATTGCATGGTTTCAATTTCATTTGTGTTATTGTAAATGTGGGAACAATGCTTTTGCTGATAAACACATGGTTGCAATGAGGCAAGTAACCATTCACAATCTTAGTTTGTGTGATCATCCTTCAATTTGCTCTCTTTCCATCCCCTAACTTCTTTCCCCTATTTCTAATATGCTCTGCCCTTTTTTTATCCTCCTTTCTCTCTCATCCATGAACTAGAACGTTTCTGTATTTTCCAGGGGCTTTCCAGAGATTTGTGACTGGATCTGCCTCTGGGAGAGGTCAAAGGCACTCAGTGTATATCTGCTCTGTTTTTTGTCATGTCCCCCTCACAGTGGATTAACACGCCCGCCAAAATATGTCTCTCTCATCTGATCTTACTCTTTTCTCTATTTGGTTTTCCTCTAGCCTGCAGGGTTAGATGTATGTGCAAGGGACGGGGTGATGATGATTTGGACACATATGGCTGCTTTTTCGGTGTTGAACTCATCACTGTTTGTCTTTGCCTCTGCAGGATCAAGGTGAGGCCATTGCCCATACCATGACTGCCCAAAGAAGCAACGCCCGTATTGAAGGTCTCAAGGCCGGTACGCCTTATGTGGTGCAGGTCCGTGCCCGAACAGTGGCCGGTTACGGTCGTTACAGCAGCCCAGCCGACTTCAGCACCAACCTGCAAAGTATGTTACTCCTTTACCTATTTCATTACCCAAGAATATATTAGAATATTTTTGGCTTAGCTGCATTACCTCTATAATAGCGACTTGAATAATCTTTTGAAAATAATGGAGGCTCAGAGTGTATGGCGGTGAAAGCTACTATGCCTGGTTTTCATGCAAATAGACTGAAATCCTAAGAGAGAAATTGGCTTAATAATTGTGAAAATCCATTTCCTAGCAAACAGTCAAGGTATCAGCCTCACTCTTGCTCTACATCATACTCAGCATAAAGCTGACATAGAAAAAGAGCTGAATAGTGTATTTTATAGTATTTCCATGTGACATGTATTAGTCCCAGGTTGCTCTCCATTCTGCCTGAAAAAAAACACTATAGTTAAAGCATATAACTCTAATGTGAGAGGCATTCACTTATCATAGAGCACACAAATGATTGCAGCTATAGTAGTGTATATCTCCTGACAATATGTCAAATTAACCACTTTTTCACTTTTACCCTTAAAGCTGACCCTCCAAAGTCATGGCAGGAGCAGCTGCCACTCATCGTGGGATCCGCCACCGCCACCTTGGTCTTCATCATTGCAGTTGTGGTCATCGCTATTGTTTGCCTCAGGTCAGAATAAAACTTATCTAACAGTCTTTAAAAAGTCAGAGTCTGCGCTGATTCAAAATATGTTCAGACAGCGAGGACTTACAGAAACATTTGGGGATAATAGTTTCCCTTCAAGTGGAAAAAAATTGAGATGGCTTCAAATGTCAACTTTGTTTGCATGTCCTCCAAACCACCCCAGAAAAGTCTCAGCGGATTGCGGGGCCACCTGTGAGACCACATAGATTAGCCTTCTGAATCTGTGAATAGTAAACAGCTCTGGCCAAAAGGCTACTTTCCTCACTGAACACAGCATGGTGCAGCAGCTGTTGGGACTGATAGGCCTGTCGTCATGGCCAGGCACTCAGAATCATCTGTGTGTATGCCTGACCACAAAGCACCCTTGTCTGCTGGGCCCAGTTGACTGGGAAGACGCAAGCTGTTGCTCACACCTTACAACAAGTCCGACATTGCATCAGCTGGGTCTAACCACACTCGTTTATCCTTATACCGCTCATTTGTCAAGCAGCAAATGCTGTGCATGAATGTATATATATGTGTGAAAGGTTGGCACCCACTGCTGACTAGCGCCCACAGCGTTCCCTCCACAAGCCAGTTCAGGCAGTGCCTGACAAGCGTGGGCATCGGTCACGGTAGACTGAATAATAATCTCCCTTGCTCCCCCACCTCTCTCTCCCTCTTGCTTCTTCACTCTCTTCTATTTTCACAGCAATACATTGTGTCTCTCCCAGGGTATTGGCTTAGCCACTGCTCCGACTGCAACAGAAGATGAAGGAGGAAAAAAATAGCAATAATACAAAACACAGAGCTTCGGCATATTCCGGAACCAAATTAGAATTTGAAATAAGATGCAAATCACCATCGGGTATTATTGCCCTGGTTACTGGTTAGACAACAAAGGAACCACATTAACATGTCATTTCAACAAACCAGCCCCCTCGCTCTGTCATCATCTTTGTGCCCTCCCCTCTCACTGTGCATAAGGGACATGTGCAGGATGATGAGGATACACAAACTGAGAGACATAGCTAAAAGAGAAAAAGAGAGGTACATTTGGAAATGATGAAAAAACAAGCAAGACGGCGAGAGAGAGATAGAGAGAGAGAGAGAGAGAGAGAGAGAGAGAGAGAGAGAGAGTCAATGAGGAGAAAAGAGGCAGATTGAATTTAAAGTACAGTGTGATGTCTGTAGGGCGAGAAAGGCGAGACAGCTGAGCTTGCTGTTTGAGTCTGCTTTTGTCTCGGCTGCTCATTTTGGGGGTACCGAGAGCGAATGGCTTGTACTTGCTGCATCAGACAATGATATAAGATCTTTTTGTTTAGATTCATGTTACAGTCCCCAAGTATGAATCATTTTACCACCAGGCATTGATCCAATACCGTGCATCCCTTGCTTCCAATGCAAAAAGACAAAACATTTACCAAAGCCACATTGTGATGTACTGTGGCTGCATCTCTCCAGACATTATTAGGGATCTGTTTTTCCCTCACTCCTTTGTTCCTTGCTGGCATCTGCTCCCTGCTGTGTGGAGCCAATGTGACTCAGTTTGCTTTTTCATCTTTCTCAACAGAAAGCAGAGAAATGGTTCAGAGTCGGAGTACACAGAGAAACTGCAGCAGTACAGTAAGTTTCTTCGCTGAAATGCCCCCTCCTCTTTGCATTATTCACATACCAACAGCATTTTTCCTATATAAATGCCCCATCTTCTACTTGGCAACGACTCAGTATCCTTTACCATAGCCAACATAACCCTAATTAGCTTGATCATGTAGTACATTAATAAAGTGTTGGAAACAATAGGTTTTCTGAACTTTACATCACATTTTAAAGTTTCCTTTGACATCATAGATTCACTTTCCTGTTCTTGCCACTGAATCCCCTATAGTAACGCCGGGAATGAAAGTCTACATTGACCCCTTCACCTATGAGGACCCCAACGAGGCTGTGCGCGAGTTTGCGAAGGAGATCGACGTCTCCTGCGTGAAGATCGAGGAGGTCATCGGCGCAGGTAACCCACCAAAGCTCCTGAGCTACAGGGGGAAGGCTGCTAGTCACCTCCAGGCCATACCGTTAGAGGACTTCACACCAAGCGGTACTTTCACTCAATTCATCGCTAGCCCTCTCTTTGCTCCCTCCCCCTCCCACTCTCGCCACTTGTTAGGAACCCCTTTTCAGTATTACAGATGTCTCCAGCACTCTGTGTTTAAAGTAGTACTAGCTAGAGTATGAACTTTTTAATTTAGCGTCAATCACCTAGCACCCTGTGTTGTTAATCATGCCATGTGCAGCTAGAGTAGCTGTAAAACCGTTTGTTTGGTGGATTATAATTTTACTCGTGTTTTTAAAACAGAGCCCAATCCTGGAAAGAGAGAGATTCTATGTCAGGAAATGAATGTAATTTAAATATGTGAAAAGCTAAACAATGTTGCAGATTTAGCCCAATGCAAGTCAAGTACAGACAGACTTTATGTAGCTAGTAGAGATGTTAAACCTGTCCAAGCATGTATGTAGATTTATATACAGACACTTTAGGATTTAACTCTTAGTATTTGCACATAGACACCAGCAGTCGACTGTATTTCAGTTCTGTGGGGTGTCATCAAAAATGTTTACAAAAACACACTTGGTTATTGACATACAGTTGTTAGTGAAAGACAATGTGGACGATCAGACCCTACAGGCTTTTTAAATGGGTTATGGCTATCTTCCATTAAATTGTTTTATGTGGAGTATAATGGGGAATGTGCTGGTTGTTGAAAGCAATTCTTGTCAACAAGGAGCATGGCTAATATTTATCTTGTGCATTCCCCATGATATATCGATCTGGTCTGCATGGGGTATTATATATTCAAATGTTTCTTGTCCAGGATTGGTCATCTCTGACCCCTACCCACCTTTAAGTGTCTTAAGAACCTCTTTATTAAAGAGTGCTTCGATTGGATCACAATCCTTAAAACCTTTTGCTGGCAATATGTGGTTGGGTCCCCTCCTTTTAGCAACCCTCCCTTGTGATGTTGTAGATAGTACAATATTAAATGTATTAAATATTTTGGATAGTAATATCTCTGCTCAAAAGCTGCAGGAATGTGCCAATTGAGGTTGAGTTTTCTTAGCATTGTATCTGAGCCAAAATGGAGGACGTTGTGATGGCAGAGATGGGAATCCCTACTACTGCTTCTGCTACTACCATTACTACTGCTACTACTGCTACGACAGCTCTTCTACTCCTGGGGCTACTACTTGAACCCGTCGCTTCCAAGCATTTGCCTTTAAGTGACAAACCCCTCAACCCCTGTCTTCCCTGTCCCCCTCCTCTCCTCTCACCCTTCCTCAATCCATCCAATCCTCCATCCCCTGCCCTCTCTCCTCTGACTTCCCCTCACTGTTGTTCACACACATCGCTCATCGCCTAATTTATCTTGCTTTCTTGCACACGCTTGGTGTAGACTCTAAACGTAAAGCGTCCTCTGCCCTGAGAACCCCAAAGCTTCTTTCTCCTCCTATCTCTTCCTCCTGCTCCCGCTTCTCCAACCACCCCGAAGCTTAGCACCCCCCTCCCCCTATCCTTGCCCTCCCTCTTCTGTCTCTTTCAGTTCCTCACACCCTGTCACCCTTCTTTAACCATTTTTTATTTTAATTTAATTTGAACATACATTTTTTCAACTCTACTTTCATCCTCATACCTTACATTCGCCATGCTGTTTATTCTAATCCGTAGCTTAACAGCACAAAGTCATGTTTGCACTGCCATCCCCACCACCCCTTGACACTGGCCGAGAGTCCTGGCTTCTCTTGCAGTCCCCCATGTCCCACCCCCTCCTGCTACCCTTCCCTGATTCCTTGGTTCTAACCAGTTAACTGTCCCCTCTCCCCTCTTTTCCCCCACTCTCCTCCACTCTTCCCTCATACCTCTCTCCCCTCCCTCTTTCTCTCTCTCCTATTCCTCTTTTGTTGTTTTTCAATGACTGGCTCACGTGGGATCTCGCAGGAGAGTTTGGAGAAGTGTGTCGTGGTCGCCTCAAGCTGCCTGGGCGTCGAGAGATCATCGTAGCCATCAAGACTCTCAAAGTGGGCTACACTGATCGTCAGAGGCGGGACTTCCTGTCTGAAGCTTCCATCATGGGGCAGTTTGACCACCCCAACATCATCCGCCTGGAAGGTGTGGTCACCAAGAGTCGGCCCGTGATGATTGTGACGGAGTTCATGGAGAATGGAGCACTGGACTCTTTCCTAAGGGTGAGAAAAAACAGCATCCACAAACACAATACCCATAGGAATAGCTCTAATAAAAGCATGTATCCATGATTTTTTATCAATAATGCAACACTATCCGGCAACTAAGCCCATTCAAATCTGATTGATCTTGCTTTTAATTATCTCACTTTCTACGGAGCCATAAAAGGTCTTCTTAAGCTCTGCTGCAGAGCGCTCAATGGTTATCTGACAAATTCTGCATTCAGGCAATTGGTGACATTTACAAAAAGCTCAGTCTCCAATGAATCACTGCCTTAAAGTCAAATCATACATTGTCTGCCAGTGAAAGGGGAAAGAAGGGAACAGACAATAGATAGGTAGAAAAGAGGAAGACGTTACAGTGTGATGTATTAGCTGATGAAAGATGCAAGTAATAGGAAACATGCTAAAAAAAGTACTGTAAGAGATACTTAAAAAAGAAAGAAAGGTAAGAAAAAAAGCTAAAAAGGAGACATATATTACTTTGAATATGCAACCTTGATCTTCAATCCAATCCATCCTTATCGCTTTCTCTGTTCCTTTGCCAGCTCAATGACGGCCAGTTCACAGTGATCCAGCTGGTTGGCATGTTGCGTGGTATCGCAGCAGGCATGAAGTACCTGTCGGATATGAACTACGTGCACAGAGACCTGGCTGCCCGTAACATCTTGGTCAACAGTAATCTGGTCTGTAAAGTGTCTGACTTCGGCCTATCTCGTTTCCTTGAGGATGACGCTACAGACCCCACATACACCAGCTCCCTGGTGAGTCAGAGTATGAGTGTGTTTGTGTTTGTCTATCTGTTTTCATGTTAATGTCTATTTTCATGTAAATACATGTTTAAAGGTGCTACATGTAAGGTTTAACATCAATACATCACCATTATATTAATTGATGGCCCCTTTCACTAATTTACAGAATAATCAAGTATGAGTACATTCAGACAAATAGATTTAATTTAATTACATTTAATTTAGTTTAATACCATTGTGGGTTGAAAGAAGATTTTTCACTTCCGCTGGCATGATCAGGTCAAAAAATACATATTGCAGCTAAATTAATGCTTATCACCCATTTTCTTCCATTGTGGAATAACAAAAGTACCTCCAAAAGACAGAATGATGTACACATTGGGGATTTTATACAATGCTTTACACTGAAGCTATATCAGATTTCCTATACAAATCCTGAGCCGATAAATGACTATAATGATATATAAGACTGATTTGCTCCTATTGTCGCATAACATACACAATTGGAAAAGCAGGCTAGGGCACATAGGATTGGGTCCTTTGAGATTGAGTATAATAGTCATATTATATCATTATATTATGAGCCCTGGAATAAAGAAAGGCAAACTCCGTTGACCTGTATAACAAAGTTGGCTTTGTGAGTTTTAGGTCTCCTGACTTAAAAACAGAATAAGGTGTATAATTCTCAAGTTCAACTTGACTAAAGCAATCCAGATATGTTAAAACATCTTGGTGACAGACAGCAACAGTGTTAATTGGAAGTGTGTATCTTACTTTGAGAGACAGTGCTGGCCACCAATTTGAGTTTGTCTGGTAGTTATATGAAAGGGTTCTATGATGGTGATATATCAATGTTTAATACATCAGCTTGTAGCACATTAAATATTCTAGCTTCATGTGTTTGTGCATATCATTTCGTGTAACTGTCTTACTAACCTTGTGTGTACATGATGTTTGGGTTCTACAGCATGCACCCATGTGTTGTGCATCAACATTTCCCTTAGACTGTGTTTTTCTCACCCTCTCTCTCCCTCTTGTATGTGTGTGATTCTGTGTTTGTGTTCCATCCCTCCAGTATTTCATGCTCACATACTCATTCGCATATCCACAGGGAGGAAAAATCCCCATTCGCTGGACGGCTCCCGAGGCGATTGCTTACAGGAAGTTCACCTCCGCCAGTGATGTGTGGAGCTATGGCATTGTCATGTGGGAAGTGATGTCATATGGCGAGCGGCCCTACTGGGACATGAGCAATCAAGATGTAAGATCATATTTTCCATAATGTGAAATATGCATACTTAATGTGAACTATATATGTATATATATATATATATTAATATTTTATGAGAAAAAGCCACCCTAATTAAATATTCTGCATTAAACAGTAGCATATTTCAATAAAATTTAAGTGTAGACATTTTCTAACCACTTCTGCCATTACTGTCCTTACTCCCACCCACAACTACCATGCAAGCTGATTTTTCTCTGGCCCTTATATCTATGCATTTCCTTAAGCCCCTGTCACACTGTCCCGAAATTGACACCCGATGGACACACGATTAAGGAAATGTTCAAATTCGGCTCTGATCGTAACAACATCGGGCCATTCGTGAGGGCATCTTAAGCCATCTTATGACCGCCGGTGGAGTTTTGTCAGGCTCTGGCAGCAACTTCGTGAGCGGTGGCAAAATCTTTGGCATGCCAAAAAATTGACGAAGGACCTTGCGAAGGTTCATTTTCGTGTTGAATTTGTGTGTCCATTTTGCCCTTCGTTAGGCCATCGTCAGGGCATCTTGTTAAATCTTGTCATCTTCGTGTGATCATCGGTGCCATCGGGCATTTTTCGCCTCACGAAGACAATACGAAGGAAACAAGAA